CAATTTTAAATTCTAAATACTTTTACAAGACTGATGAATTTAGGTTGGACCAAGTTTCATTTACACTGATAGTGGGTCAGTTTACTCTAATTTGGTACCTTCCTCACCTAGTTGGTTAGATTCGTCGTTTTTGCTTGGACTTTTTTCTTAAACAGTAATTGTCCACATTTCTGTCATGTTGTCATGGACCGCCTCCGTGGTGTAGTGGTTAGAGCGTGCGCCCGGAGAGCGGAAGGTCGCGGGTTCGATCCCCGACCGCGTCATACCAAAAGACGTTAAAATATGGTACTTGTTGGTCCCTGCCTGGCGCTCGGCATTAATGGGTACAACAAGGACTGGTCGGCTCGGAGTCAGTATAATGTGTCTGAGTGGGGTATTCATGCTTCACTGCGGCATGGTATCTCAGTGGGCTAGCACTTTAAAATCAGCTAGTACAAGTCTGGGCTAGTACAAGCAGCCGCACATACACATACACACGCATGCACGTCGTCATATGAGCGAAATATTCTCAAGCACGACGTTAAACCAAATTTCACCTCACCTCACATGTTGTCATGATAATGTATTATTGAAGTTCTCGGTTACAGACAAGGAAGAATTCACATTTATTTCTGTGAACCAGAACATTCGAATATATGATTAGGTCGGTGATACATTATAACACATATCATTCGCAGTCATTTCATATGGTTTTACATGTTATAAGGTTTATAATGGAAATATAAGCAGATCAAGTTCAGAATTTATTATGGTTTTGGTTATAATTGGGTTAAATCGATCAAGACAATGGCTGCCAAACATCATTGTTAGCCAAGTTTGGGGACAGGCGAATCGCTCTTGCCAATCTGATTTGTAATCGTAGGTCATTAGAAAAATTATTAATTTTTAAATGCATATTGTTATGGAAAAGCATAAAATTGTATTCTAAAACTGTGGGCCAATTATAGTTAGTTTAGCTCCACTGTTCAGACCATGAATTATTATTTGAAGGAAATCACTTAATCGAAATGGAAGACTAATTTCATGTTGTTCCTCTAACCGCGTCTTTGATCAATTGATTGATTGGTGTTTGTATGGTTTGTACCTAAGGTATATATGAGTGATTGAGTGAGTTTGGTTTTACGCCGCTTAGCAATATTCCAGCAATATCACGGCGGGGGACACCAGAAAATGGGCTTCTCACATTGTACCCATGTGGGGAATCGAACCCGAGTCCTCGGCATGACGGGCCAACGCTTTAACCAGTAGGCTACCCTACCGCCTCGGCTATGTTTTAATGTTAAGAAGAAGCTTTCGAATTCTTCTGAAATACTATAAAATTCTGTCTTATATAATAAAATGTGTGTTCCTAATTATGACAAGACTGTGAAGGTATGTCAGTAGTAAACTGTATGCCTCCAGTGTGTTATGTATACTGCGCTCCGTACAATCTCGCCCTTGATGCTTCCCGTGAAGATCCAGGCTAGAATTTATCTACTAGTACCGGGAATTCCCGTATTTAGGCCCACGCGAAATTTAAACAATGGGCTAAAATTCGGGATTTTTTCCCGTATTTAAGCCCATGGGCTTAAATTTGGGTTTAATTCTTGGGTGTTTAGAGTGACGTCCTTTTCCTGTTGGCTCTGAATAGTGTCACTGCCATAGATATCAGTCAGTCACTCCTGTCATATTAGTTTCAAGTTAAAGTGTTTATGAATTCAGATTTGATCGCGTCACCATATGGCTGGAATAATGCCGATGTGACGTAAAGCCCAGCTAAACTCATCTTAAACTATTAGTTTGAAGTTCATATTTTGTATTGAATAGACTGTTAAAACTTCATCATTCCGTTCACAGTTGAAATACTCACTCGAGTGAATATTTTCACAGCTTTGAACTCAGTGTGAATACAGTGTGGCTCTAAATACTCTCTGTAGAGACTAGTCATTGTGTTAGATGCCAGTCAGTCCTCTCATAATAGTTTAAAGTTCGTGTTTTGCATTAAAGACTGTCAACTTTATCATTCACGTTCACATTTACTCACTCGAGTAAACATTTTCATAACTTTAAATTTTATAGACCAGTTTCCTGATTAAAGAGTTTTAAAAAATCCTGATTCTTTTCCCTCTTATCAAAATATTGGGCATTTTCGAATTTAGGCCCTGGGCTTAAATATGGTCAAAATATTTCATCACTAGAACAGTGATTTTCCGTATTTAAGCCCCGGGCTGAAATACGGAAACTCACTGTTCTAGTGATGAATTCCCAGTAACCCATTCTTGTCATAAGAGGCTACTAACATGATCGGGTGGTCAGGCTCGATGATTTGGTTGGTACATGTCACCTTATCCAATTGCGTACATCGATACTGTTGTTGATCCCTGGATTGTCTGGTCCAGACTCGATTATTTACAAACTGCCGTCATGCCCCTAATTATAAGTGGTGAATCTATCCTCGAGTTTTCAATATATAGTATGACCAGAAATTATTGAGAATTTTAGGAATATGGTTAATTGGATTTCTAGTATAAACAACCTTGACCAGCTATCAAGTGCTTGGTTTCATTCAAGAGAGACAACTCCGTTAATCCTTTTTCATTAGTTTGTGACGAGTAATCCCCCTTTGTTTACTTGCTAGCAGACGACATTTTCAGTGATCCTCAGTATGGATGATTTAGAGAAGAGGAAGTTGATTTTAGAGTATTATAACAAGGACATCAGATCTCATCAGATTTCAAGTAGAACAGGCATCCCTTTGTCCACTGTTTATCGTGTTTTGAAAAATATTGCAAATGGATATGGCATTGAGCACCAGGGAGGCGCAGGTAGGCCCAGAAAATTGACTGTCGGTGACAGGAGGCGGCTTGGTATTCTTGTTTCTAAAAACAAACGAAGGAGTTTAGAAAACTTAAGGCTGGATATGATTGATAGAGGAACTGTGGCTGTCTGTAAGGAGACAATTAGAACTGAGCTCCATGCAATGGGTTGGCAGAAAAGTCGAGGAATTCCATCACCGATCATGAAACCTGAACAAAAGGAGCGAAGGTTGAACTGGTGCTTACAGCATAGAAATTTTAACTGGGACAATGTGATTTTCTCACATGAAAATTCTGTGTGGCTGTTTCCTAATACACTGAAATTCTGGACCAAACAAACTGAAAAACCCAAATTACAGTCCGAAATTGAACGTGTGGGGTGGCATAACTGTGTTAGGGACAACGCCCCTCTGTGTATTTGAAGGGAATATGTGAGCAGTACACAGATATTCTCGAGGGACATTTACTTCCATCTGCTCACGTGTTCTATGGAAATGTTTTGATTTTCCAGCAGGACAACGACCCAAAACATCGTTCAAAGCATTCACAGGCCTGGTTTCGGACCCAAAATAAAACATTATTAGATTGGCCAAGCTATAGCCCTGACCTAAATCCAATAGAAAATGTTTGGGGACTTATGAAGGAAAGTGTCAATAAGAAAAATCTGACAAATATTGCTGAAATGAAAGAAAAGGTGGTCCGATATTTGGACAGCATAGACCACGCCTATCTAACTTCTTTGATCAGTAGTATGCCCCGCCGCATTGAAGCCTGCATTGCTGCCCATGGTGACTTGACAAAATACTAACTGTTCACCTGTCTTTGAATCTGGAGTTATGTTCTGCTAATATTCACATTTAATACGTGAGTAATGAGTGAAAAAAATATAAAAATTTACAATCTTAAATTCTCAATAATTTCTGGTTGTACTGTACAAACATGGTATATTCTTATATATAAACTACGTTTCAAGGGAAGTAAAACAAATCAATTATGGAAATGCTCTTAAATAGTTTGTTTTCCGAAACGTGCGTTTGAGCCTCATGAAATGTGCTTCATCGTGTCAAAAACGTAACATGCATGAATTCTATATGGTAAACTTCATAAAAGGTTTTCCGCCATTTAATATGTTCAGTCCACAAAATCGATACTTCCCATCAAAAGCTTACACTCACTATATGTTATGTTATGTTATGTTATGTTATGTTATGTTATGTTATGTGTGTGTGTGTGTGTGTGTGTGTGTGTGTGTGTGTGTGTGTGTGTGTGTGTGTGTAGTTACAGAGAAGATTGATTTCTCCACTAAATTTGGGGAACCAACTGCAGATGAATTGCACGTGGATCATGCATCGAATTGCTGAAAGTTTCACTGATTTTTATCATATATTAAACTCATGACAATAACCTTTTCAACGTTACGATTTTGTTTTACAATACATCAGTTCATGTGTAAACAGTACCTTTAAACAGTATGGAATATTTTGCAAAATTTAGTTACGTGCAGTTGCATGAAGTAAGCGGCTATATTTACTCTAGTGAGTCTAAACCTTTGATGGGGAGTATATTATGTCAGCCTTGTCTCTATGTATCTTACTCATACAGTGTCTTCGCGTTCTCGTAGTTGTCAATTTTAGTCAGGGATTGGTGAGCATTACATCTTCTTATGACACCTCTATATTTCTCAATGCGTTATTGTTGCAACCAAGTTGAAAGCTACTTTATACAGGAATATATTTAAATACTTTCTGAAGACGGGGCCATTAAGTATAGACCGAATAACAAAGGTCAATCCAGTGATGTTCAAGTTGATGTCTGGTAAGCACCAATTCAAAATCAATATAGTTTATTAACATTATTGACTCTTCTTTGTAAATCAAAAAAATAATCCTTAATGACCGCAATGGGTTTTTAATGTTTTAATAAGGATTACTAAATGAATAAATCATTAGGAAATTTCGAAATAAGAAAGGAAACATTGCTATCAACAAATACTGTTTTTGATAGTAAAATTAAGATTTGTCTAATCACTTGAATTATCGAAAGAAAATATTTTTGAATAAATGATATATAGATATTAAAACGTTGCGAAACACAGGAAAACGACCATGAATGAAGGCTAGCTCACACTTTTATCCCAAAAGGAGGAGGTCCCCATAATAAGACAACACGAATGTAATATGCTCATGTTTTATTATAGGACACAAATACAACAAGTTCCAAACTGACAGCGTTATTTGCCATCTACCTTGATCATGTTGGAACTACAGACTGGGCAAAGATGTTTACATCTGCGTTTCGTACGATGTTTAAAACATCCCCCCATGAAGTAATGCAACTGTATTTGGTCCAGTTTAGTACATCCACAGCTTTCCGCATTTTTCTGCTGTTAAAACGATTTTGCTACTTTCCTATATCACATCGGTGATATGGCAAAGTGTTCTCTATTTTGTTCAAAAAATCACTTTTCTATATATTCTCGGAAAATGTTAAAAAACAAGTCCAAATATGAGTAGAATAGTGCAAATCACTGCAAATGTTTCAGTAATCGTGTTTTAAGGCGCAATATTCACCTTAAATTGTTTTTCGAAGCAGGTTCATCAACATTGTTCTACATGGCCTTAAGAGGAAATAAATGAGCAATTTCATTTGTTTTAAAAACTTCACTGATAAAAATGTTAGAAAAAAGGTTTCTCAGTTTAAACAGAAACCGAGTGCATTATCAAAATTGATAGGAAGATGTTTGATGTTTTGAAAATTGCCATGCTGGTTCATTCTGAGTTTATGCGATTTGCTTTTGCTTGAACTGTCTGATGACAGTGTAGACGAGGACGATGATGACGACAGCCATGGTGATGGTGACGATGCCGAGGCCAATCATGGCGGGCATTAGCCATTCTTTAGCACACGCAGCTTCATCGGAGGTAGTGTCTGGAAAGATGATAGTCAATAAAGTACCATCAAGATGAATAAGACACAGCAACAGTAGCTATGTGATACTTCAAAATATGATTACACCCCTCAACGGCAAGAATGACGTTATTTATTATGATAGTTTCGCAAATTGTTTCGTTCGCTCATTAAGTGTTCTCGTGTGTCATCAATGCTACTTCCTGATATTCCAGGCAACCCAAGAGTGTTATTTTGTTTACAGTGTTGCATTAAAATCACGAAAGAGACTAAATAATATCTTGCAAAATATGAAACATGTTGACGTACGTGGGAGGGTTTTGGAATGGGTAAGATAGATAACTGTCGTAAGTTGTTCCTCCTGAGAATCCCCGGTGCCCTCTTCCTGGGTGGTCTCGGCGTTCCTCTTTCTTCTGCCAGGACATGTTGGCTGGAAACAGAATTTGATTGATAAATGGTACAATTGGAAAAAATATATCAGTGCCTCCATATTTGAGACCGTGTCCTGATCGACACGTACTCATTCAAATGTATGTAGCATGATGAATATTCTGGTTTTCATTTCCATGTTAACCCTGAAGATCCGGGTAAGATTTGATCTTTACCAAACCATGATTGCCGTAAGAGGCGACTAACGGGATCGGACGGTCAGACTCGCTGACTCGGTTGATACTTGTCATCGTATCAGAATTACGTAGATCGATGCTTATGATATTAATCACTGGATTGTCTGGTCCACACTGGATTATTTACTGACAGCGTAGTCATGCGTGGGACATTTCAAAATGTGACACATCAGTGACAAAGTAATGTTCGATACCGTTCCCTTTTTCACTTGTGCCACGAATTTCCGTGTTTTTTTTCAGGTGAACAATTTACTTGCCTTTGCATTGGTTTGTGACAGGTGCCACCGATATGCTAACGCCTGGCATAACAACTGATTGACATGATATAGTCAATATTGTACAATCAACTCTTCTCTTGACAGAAACTTCTTGTGTATGTGGAAAGGATATATTTTCACGAAACAAGCATGACGAGAAATACACTTAATGCCTTGCTACGTAGACCAGGTATGGTTATCGACACCTCAGTGCTTGGGTTCATGTGACAAAACATTGGTACTCCTAGTGCTTTGATAGAAATATAGCTATTGATACCCCGAAGGTTTTGACTCCAACGAGATATGGGTACTCAGACTCATGTGACAGATATGGATATTGGTACCATGAACTTCGACTCATGTGACAGATATGGAAAATGGAAACCAGTATTTCGACCAACGTGACGGATATGGATACAGGTACCATGTACTTCGACTCATGTGACAGATATGGAAATTGGTACCAAGTCCTTCGACCAAAGTGACGGATATGGATATTGATACCAAACGCTTCAACCAATGTCACAGGTATGGATACTAGTACCAAACACTTCGACCAAAGTGACGGATATGGAAATTGGTACCAAACACTTCGACCAAAGTGACGTATATGGATATTGGTACCAAACACTTCGACCAAAGTGACGGATATGTATATTGGTACCAAACACTTCAACCAAAGTGACGGATATGGATATTGGTACCAAACACTTCGACCAAAGTGACGGGTATGGATATTGGTACCAAACACTTCAACCAATGTTACAGGTATGGATATTGGTACCAAACACTTCGACCAAAGTGACGGGTAGGGATGACGTGACGGGTAGGGATATTGGTACCAAACACTTCGACCAAAGTGACGGGTAGGGATATTGGTACCAAACACTTCGACCAAAGTGACGGGTATGGGTACCTGACAAAGCAGCTATTGTCAAGCATAGTATATATTTACCTGAACGGCGTCTGCAGCGTTTTCAAACACCTGGACCGTGCTGACAATTGCCAGGGCAGGGTTCGTCAGACCACTATCATGCTCAAAGGTAAACGTTTCCAGCATAAAACACAGGGTGTGTTTTTCTCCAGCAGGATCAAAGGCAGGAAGTGAGCTCACCAAACCTGCACCGCTCACATCGCAACTGAAACGGTCATATATGAATTTTCTTTGTGCTTATAATGAAGGTTTCAGGCGTATCACAAGTATAGTGTACTTCTTATGTACTCTTTAGGGAAGTAATCTCTTCCGATCTTTGTGACTACATCATTCTGATATTCTGCTACCTATTCATGTAGCGGCACCACTGCAACAATCCCCGTTTCCTATCTCAGTGGCTACGCCATTGTTACAATCCCCGATTCCTATCTCAGTAGCTACACCATTGTTACAATCTCCGTTTCCTATCTCTGTAGCTACACTATTGTTACAATCTCCGATTCCTACCTCTGTAGCTACACTATTGTTACAATCCCCGTTTCCTATCTCTGTAGCTACACTATTGTTACAATCCCCGTTTCCTATCACTGTAGCTACACCATTGTTACAATCCCCGTTTCCTATCTCTGTAGCTACACTATCGTTACAATCCCCGTTTCCTATCTCTGTAGCTACACCATTGTTACAATCCCCGTTTCCTATCTCTGTAGCTACACCATTGTTACAATCCCCGTTTCCTATCTCTGTAGCTCCACCATTGTTACAATCCCCGTTTCCTATCTCTGTAGCTCCACCATTGTTACAATCCCCGTTTCCTATCTCTGTAGCTCCACCATTGTTACAATCCCCGTTTCCTATCTCTGTAGCTCCACCATTGTTACAATCTCCGTTTCCTATCTTTGTAGCTACAACATTGTTACAATGCCCGTTTCCTGTCTCTGTAGCTACACCATTGTTACAATCTCCGTTTCCTATCTCTGTAGCTACACCATTGTTACAATCCCCGTTTCCTATCTCTGTAGCTACACCATTGTTACAATCTCCGTTTCCTATCTCTGTAGCTAAACCATTGTTACAATCCCCGATCCCTATCTCTGTAGCTACACCATTGTTACAATCCCCGTTTCCTATCTCTGTAGCTTCACCATTGTTACAATCCCCGTTTCCTATCACTGTAGCTACACCATTATTACAATCCCCGTTTCCTATCACTGTAGCTACACCATTATTACAATCCCCATTTCCTATCTCTGTAGCTACACCATTGTTACAATTCCCGTTTCCTATCTCTGTAGCTACACCATTGTTACAATCCCCGTTTCCTATCTTTGTAGCTACACCATTGTTACAATCCCCATTTCCTATCTCTGTAGCTACACCATTGTTACAATCCCCATTTCCTATCTCTGTAGCTACACCATTGTTACAATTCCCGTTTCCTATCTCTGTGGATACACCATTATTACAATCCCTGTTTCCTATGTCAGTAGCTACACCATTGTTACAATCCCCGTTTCCTATCTGTGTCACTACATCAATCCGACACCTGTAGCTAAATTCCTGTACCAATTTCTGTTACATATCTGTCTGACTACTTGAATGAGTTAACATGTGGTTATTGTCGGTGTGGGATGAGTGAGTGAGTATGATTTTGCGCCACTCTTGGCAATAGCACGGGGGACACCAGAAATAGGCTTCACGCATTGTACCCATGTGGGAAATCGAACCCGTGTCTTCGGCGTGACGAGCCAACGCTGCCCCACCGCCCCTATGTGACTAAATCACCGTGACAATGTATATTTCCTACATCCGTGACTACTCCTGGTGTCCCCTGCCGTGATATTGCTGGGATATTAAATCACTCATTCACTTCACCCTAACAATGAGTATTTCCTGCATTGTATTTCAGCAGCTTTATTTCAGATGACAACATCACAAATGTAATGTGCTTTTCGTAATCTACATTTCCTACACCTATGACCACCACTGTAGCTACTCACTTGTCCGCGTACACCACCTTCTCTCTGTAATCTGAGCCTGTCCTGTTGTTATTGATGGTGATGTTTTTGATAATTATTCCGTTGAAGTTGTCCACTGAAGAGAATCACATGCTTTTTCAACGTACGTCATTTCAGTATCATTACCACTAATTGCTACCTATAATAGCTCTCATACACTCAATTCAGAAGGCGCAAAATATCACGATTGATATTAGTTAGAACAATTGTTACCTATATAACTTTCATACCCTTGATTCAGAAGGCGCAACATATCACGAATAGAATTTATAACGGCAATTGTTACCTATATAATTCTTATACCCTTAATTCAGAAGGCGCAAAATATCACTAATTAAATAATTACAGCAATTGTTACATTTTGATGGCACCTAGGAATATGATGATGCTAATGACAAGACAATCTAATCATTTTGGAATTTCATTTTGGTAGAAAACGTCGATTCCATGCATATTTCAGCAACGTTACATCTGAGAACACGTCTACTAACTTCTACAGATGTATTCATTTGGAGGACACAGCTCCAACAGGGAAGATGAAAAACCTCGGCACTTACATCCATTCACGCTGACGCATGTTGACAATTTTGCTCCTGACGTCACGGGTCCTTGGATGGCCTGCCCATCAGCAGAAGCGACAACTTGCGTTGCGGGGACGAAGTTACTTGAGCCTCCATTCTTGGTTCCACCGCCACCAGTGTTACTGGATTCACGAATAATAATAATAATAATAATAATACTTAGTCGATTAATATTGAGCTAACTCCATAACGACAACATGCTCATAGCGCAGACAGTTCATTAGTACCCCGGATAACCCAAGTTGCCTGTGAAGAGCTAGAAAGTTATAGTCAAATGGCTTATCCCACCGGGTACCCATTTTCTGCAGGGTGAACAGGGGCAGTTTTGAGCACATTCACATGCCTAAGGTGAGACGACATGTATCACATGTGCTTCGTTGTGGGGCAGGACTGAAGTCTTAGAAACTCCCAGGAGTCAAGCTGCCGAACACGGTCACCCATCCAAGGACTCTCCGCGCCAAACGTTGCTTAACTTCACCTGATTGTGACCTGAGCTCCATGCACAGGAGCACACACCACCACAACACACAATAGAAAGTGGTCAAAATGAAACATATGTTATATTTAGGATTACACTTTCTCAGTAAAGTACAGATTCTGGAACTCTTTCGGGGAGGGTCCCAATCGGGATTCGAATCTACACAGTGAGAGTGTCCCAGATATAGCATATATTACTGGAACAATGAATTCAATGTCATGTCGGAGTGATGTCATGAGTGAGTGTTACACAACATTCAATTTAATAACAAGCGACAAACCCCTTCAGAACTGAGAGAGAGAGAGAGAGAGAGAGAGAGAGAGAGAGAGAGAGAGATTAAACAACAGTTAAGGAATGTTAAAAAGTTACAACTATGTTAGCGCTAAGAGAGCTTCGAAAATCTAGGCGTTCTTTCTGATGACTGGTAGTCTGGTAATCGCGATGATTAACGATGTCGGTGGTTTCCTAATGCCTTGTCCACTGTGATTTGTGTTAATGATAAATACAGTCCGTGAGGTTATTTTTGTAGACGTATATTTTTAAGGTTTTAAGGACTGACTTCAGCATGTTTCTGCGTATATTTTGGAATAATCGTTAAAACCGGTGGACACACTTTGCGTAAAAAAATGTATTTATACCTCCATAAACAAAAGAAGACTGTTGAGGTTAATTGTTAATGAGCAATAATTCAATGTTCAGATTTTAACGCACGAATAGAAATTTACGATTTTTTAAAAACCCCAGAAACGAACACAACAACGATAAACAAAGGCTCATTATAGGGACACATTTGAATTCGAACTAACAGTCAAGGGAGTTAACTCTCTCAGTCTTTAGGCGTGACTGATGTACGCTTTTTTGAAGCTCTTTTCCCCCAGTTACCAATATTAGGGACATTGTCAGAGATTTCAGTGCTAAAATGTTTGAATCACCTTCCTCCGCTGATAACTTGGGCTGGAGATTCCACAACCACAGCTGCATCGTTGAATATACAGGTGAAGGTCACTACCTCGTCGGTTGCTGGACGCGAAATACCAGGAGAGTAACGCACGTCGAGAACCAGAGCGTATTTCTTTGCAGTACCCTGGGAACAAACATAATCATTGAGTGAGAGTTTTGAGCAGCTTGTGAGTCATTACTGGAGTAAATTATTATTATTATAGGATATTTATATAGAGCACATATCAACGCAGCTAGTACATGCTGAAGGCGCTGGTTTTTCACTCGATCGTTGGATGTCAATCTCAACGGCACATCGTATTATCAATCTCAACTCCCTGAGGACCATTCAACTCTTGCAGCCACTAGGCGCACCGAGTTAAAGTGGCTCTCTCGTCCTTCCGGGGTACCCATTCACAGATGGGTGGACTGGGACACATAGTCACAGTAGTTTGTCAAAGTTTACTGCACGTTGCTGTACCCGCAACTAAGTGTTTGCACGTATTCATGTGGCCACCATCTGGTCATTTACCAACGGATTCGTGGGTTCTTTTAAGTGCACAGGGTTGTGCACTGTACACTAAGGGTTGTGACTAAACTGAAAAAGTCTGCACTCCGGTCACAGGTGGGCTCGATCCCGGCACCTCACGCAAATTAAGTGGAGAAAACCCCAAAGATTAGATATGGTTCAATCCCGAAAATCTATTTAACTGATGAATAAACATCAAAAGATGATAATTTATGCAAATCTTCAATTTGGACATAAGTGTCCCCTAAGTCGAAGAAAGGAACAACTTCAATTCAGTATTATGGTTTTCTGGTCAGTGTGTGTGTTTGTTGTTTAAATCCGCACTGAGCAATATTCCAGACTTATGACGGCGGTCTGTAAATAATCGAGACTGGACCACAGCGCAGTGATTGACATCATGAGCATCGATCTGGGCCATTCGGATACGATGACGTACATGTCAGCGGGTTTGACCACCCGATCTCGTCAGTCGCCATTTGGACAAGCTATGGTTGCTGAAGACAAATTCTAACCCGGATATGTTCCTAATTAGACAAATGCAACCATAAGCACGTCTTATTTGGAATGTACAGTGATTGTTTGATGTTGTGATAAAGCCATGAACATCCTTTCTTCAATGAAAAGATCCGGGTTAGAATTGATCTTCAGTAACCCATGCTTGTCGTAAGAGGCCACTAACGGCATCGCGTCTCTCAATTGCGTAGATCGATGATCATGCTATTGATCGCTGGATTGTCTGGTCCAGGCTCGATTATTTATAGACCGCCGCCATATGGCTGGAATATTTTTGCGTGCGGCGTAAAACTAAGCTCACTCACTCACTCTTCCATAGAAAAGAGAACACTAACCTCTGGCATTGGCCCAAGTTCTCCACAAGTGCCATTGTATTCGAATATCCCAGCGTAGCCCATACAGGAGTCCGGGATACCATCGCCAGCAACGGCTGGGTTAGGGGCGAGGGTGAGGTTGCAGCCAGGGGTGTTTCGCTGATCTCTCACGAAAATATTGCCGGCGAAGGTGTTGACGGAGAACGGAGTTATGCACACGCTGAAGTTGTTGTTGTTGCACTGATGATCGTCTGGCGTGAGGAAGACCAATATTTATACCACATTTGAAAATGGTAAATGAATGTATTACGTTACTTGGTAGTATTGTTCAAATGATGTTATGGTTAAATATATGATCTTTCTTCAAGTTACTTCTGATTGCTTAATTTTCTATCTATGTGTATATATACTCTTCAAAAAGGTAGGGGAACTTGCTTTTTAATTTACGATTGAAACAATTGGAGTCAATCAATGTTGATATGATAATAATGAATGTTTTGAGAGTGCATCACCACTTGCACTTCCTTATGACCATAGTTGTTTGTACAGTAATCGCTCTTGAAAGATGACTAGTGTATGACCTGAAATTTACATGTGTACGACTTTCACTTTTTAAAAAACCCGGCTAGAAACAAACACAAACAACTCTGTAATGCAAGATGATTGTCAAAATTAATGGTCTACCGTGATTTATCGATCTTCTTGAAAACTATCAAAATCAAGAATGACACCCCATTCAAGTAAAAAATACAGTAGAACATGGATATAGCGAACACGGATATAGCGTACAAACGGATATAGCGAACAAATTTAAAAGTCCCGTCAATAGTCCTTTATAATATCATTAAATTATACGCGAATAACGAACTCGTGAGTAGCGAATTAACGGCTATAGCGAACTGATTTACTACCCCCATGACCCAATTAACGACGTGATTAGCGAACTCACTCAGTGTCAGCTCAGCCACTTAGCAGTATACATCAACCTTGTTGGCGGCGAATCAACATTGTTTGATTAAATTATATACATGTATTGTTGAGATTGTTGTGATTGTTAAACATGTTCTAGCTAATGTCTGTGAATGATAAATTCAGAATTTTAATGTTATGTCAATGTACATGTACAAGAATAAAGATTTGTAGCCTCAGCATATACATGTCTCTACATCTCTACAATCCAAGATGGCGGTCAAATGTGAATAACGAACAACGGATATAGCGAACTAAATTTCTTGGTCCCTTGGAGTTCGTTATATCCGTGTTCTATGCTGAAGACCACGTCTAACCACTGATGTTATATACAACTGCTTAATTCATAAATGTGCATATTCAACTTATTAATCACATAGATGTCACTCACAAGCTTTCTGGTCGCACTTTACTCCAGCAAACCCTGGGTTACATACACAGGCAGGGGTTCCGGTGACACAGTAACCATTAACACAGGTGCTGTTGTCGCAGGGTGTGACTAGGTCGGCTGAAACAAAAAGCACAACTTTTAATCATTCAAAAAAACCGAAATACATATGTATTATTTACCATCATAAAAATCTAAATTTCTTCATTCATAAGTGTGCAGTGAGTAATTGTTCTATTATAATAATAATAATAATAATAATAATAATAATAATAATAATAATAATAACTTTGGATTTATATAGCGCAAGTATCCAGTGATCACCCAATTGTCTTTTGATATCAAATATATCACCACGAGTTGATAAAGTTACAAATATCAGAGGCTTGCCGAGGAGATTTTGACTTTTATCAACGAGTGTTGATATATTTGATATCAGAACACACGAGGGTGAGATTCTATTTATCATAAAAAATCTCTCTTCAATGAAAACTGTACATCTCTGAACACGGTACTGCCATTAGACTTGCAGTGCAGCGATG